GTGCACGTGTAGGTGAGAGGCCAGAGAAGGCAGATGCCTGGAGTCTGTGTGCACAGAGTTGTGCAAGGTCCCTGATTCTGAGCTCCTAGGGCTCACCTTGGGTGTCACCTGGCCCTCAGGGGCCTCTTCTGTGTCACCCAGTCCCAATGTTCTGAGACATTATTTTTGAGGTTGTTTCAGGGGAGGGTGGCACAGGAGGGTGAATTTGGTCCCTGTTACTCCATGTTGGTGGGAAACAAAAGTGTCTTTTACCATTTTGATCCTCTTCTATAGTACCTCTAATTTTTTAGTCCACTGGAATTAATTTTCTCACATATCCCAGATGCCTCTTCGCCTGCTCAGAGTCCTAGTGTGCAGCGGGTCGTGCTGGCAGAGGCAGCTGCCCAGTGACGCCGGCTCCTTGTTGCCAGTGGATTCTGAACTGGGAGTCCCTGAAGCCCAGCCCATCAGAGCTCACCGTTTGCTGTCCGGCCACCAGCACTCTCTGTTTTAGAACTGAGTCTTGCAGCCCCTGAATGACTTCTTTGGCGTGAGCTCATACTGTTTTTAATATCTGCCCTCCTGGTTGGGAGTCTGAGTGGAAGGGAATTCACCTTTTTTGAAGGGGAACAAATAAAACATAATTTGCTTGGGAGATTACATCGGAGCCTAGATTTTTAAAAAATTTTAAAACTGTTTTACAGCCAGTCTGCTGGATTTCAAGCTCAAGCGTAAGCTCAGAGGGTGCAGCTCCTTCTGGACCCTCACCCACCTGGCAAAGGCCCCCGACTGTCTCCCCTGCAGCACTCTAGGGTTTGGCTCTGACAGAGTACTTGAAGTTCCCCAAATGACAAGGCTGTGCCATGCCTCCTAGTTCAGTTGTGTGCCTGGAAGGCTTTTCCCCCACTTTCCACCTTGCAGAGGTGTATCTGGCACGTTCCTGGAGAGAGCTTTGCCTCCTTCTCCCCGTCCAGTATCACACTCAGCTTCCTTAGGCCCCACATCCTATTGAGTGGTCCTGGGAGACGGGGACTGTATGGGACTGTGTCCTAATTCTGAGGAAAACCCCCTTCTCTCAGTGCAAACCCCTCCCCCCCGCCAGGTGTTCCTGCTCCAGCTGGGCTCCCTCCACTTCTTGGCATCGAAACTGGTGCCTTCTCAGAGTCAGGAGATCAAAGAAGTTATGGGTGGTGAATCCTGCAGAGCACTCGGGTAGCAGTCTTTTACTTCTTTGTAACTATGAGATTTTTTGTTTAGGTAAAAAAATTGCACATGTATAACGAAAAAGCAAGGAATAGTACCTAAAGGGTGTGGTCGGGAGCTGCAGGATTCTGTGTGGGAGCCCAGGGGACTTGGGGCGGTGCTGTCAGACCATCTCACCTGGAAGCCCGTTTCTTCTTCAGGAGATCACTTTACATCAGCTTGGCCTCTTGTAAGGAAAGTCAGAGTAGCAGTGGCTTCAGCAAGACCAGATAGAAGTAATGTTTCGCACATGTGATAATTGACCATTAGCAGACCGGGGCTTGGTGGCAGCTCCTGGGTGTTGGGGACCAAGGCTCTCTGTATCACAGTTTTCTGCCATCCTCAGTAGCTTCCATCCTGTGGGCTAAGAAGGAGTGTCATTGTCCATTAGCCCAGACTCATTGCCAAGGCACAATCCAGAGGAACAACCCAGAGGTTGCATGGCTGTGGTCCCCTCTGCTGTGACTCAGTTGCCTGCAGCATCTGTTACCAGAGGCCTGGGAAGCGTAATCTGTAGCCTCTGTACTAGAGGAAGAGGGGGATAGCTGTTCAGGGGTAGCTAGTAGCTGCCACACATGCAGCAGGCCTAACCCTGTCATCAGATTAATCCACTGGTTATGGGGCACTGACTGGGCCAGACATTGTGCTCAGCCCGGCTTCAGAAAGAAACCGCACACGGGTTCTTCCTTCAGCCTCTTCTTCCAGTGTAGAAGGGCAAACAGATCAGCAACACCCAGGCCAGGGTACTCGTGGTTCCCGGGCAGGGGGTGTTCCTTAAGTAGTGGCGAATGGCTCCCAGGATGCTGAGCGTGTGAAGCTGGAGGAGCGGCTGGCTGGTACCTGTTTTCTACACTGAGGGCCCTGGACATCATCCTGAGGTGCAGCTGAGGGGAGGACTGGCCTGTCTCCCCATCCTCACTCCAGCTCCACACTGTAGCCTCGTCCTGGGCTCTTGTTTCTGTCCTGCCTGGGCCTCTGCACCACTGCTTAGGTCGTGCTCTTCCCTGATCCTGGTGTGCCCTTCCCTCCTGCTGGCCAGTCCAGGTGCTCCTACCCATAATGGCCCGGCTGAGGGCTATGCTCCACCCTAGCTGTAGCCCTGCCTCTGATAACCCCTCAACTCCAGGCTCAGTCTGGACGGCGTGGCTCTCATTTTTTTTTTTTAAATATTTATTGTTTAGTTTTTGGCGGACACAACATCTTTGTTTGTATGTGGTGCTGAGGATCGAACCCGGGCCGCACGCATGCCAGGCGAGAGCGCTACTGCTTGAGCCACATCCCCAGCCCGTGGCTCTCATTTTGTGATGGAGAATTGATGCTTTGAGGGGTGAGAAATGCCATCCTGTTCCAGCGCTAGAGCAGGGGTCCCGGCCTGCTGTTGTTTTTCTCTGGGGCAGGGATTCTGCCCCAGTACCCTCTATCAGATGTGATGTCAGGGGGTCCTGGAGCAGGAAGGCAGGTGGAGGGACTGGATCATGGGGGGTAATGGGGAGAGAGAAATCCTGAGCTCAGATGGGCAGAATTGTCCTCTAAACCGAGGTGATGTCATTGGTCACAAGCTGGGATTCTAGTACTTGGAATCCTATGTTCCATTTTGTTTTACTTTATTTTATTTTTTGGAAATTTAAAATGTACAGAAAAAAAGTTCATCATAGATTGATAATCTTACATCAGAGAAATAGCCATGATTAATACCCACACAAAAACTCCCAGCTTTTAAGGAACAGTTACAATTTTAAAGTAATATAAAATGATTCTGCTCAATATAAATAATTAAAACTACAAAGATGAAAAGTTTAAAAATCTCCAACTCTATTATTCAGAAATTCCTGTTGTTTTTGTTAGATTATTTTAGATATCTTTATAGGGTCATGACAGACATAGAGATAAATATTTAGATGTACTCTCTAAGCGATGATCACACTCTCACCTGATGTGATGGTCATTGGCTACTGGTAGCTACTGACCACTTGAAATGTGGCAGATTTGTAGAGAGTCTGTCAGTGTAATACACATCCTGGCTTTGGACAGTGTCATAGGAGGAGATTTCCTTTCTCAAGAAAGGCTCATGTTTCCGGGGGATGCTGCCTATTGCTTTCCTAGCCGGCTGATGTTTGGGCTGGTTCCATCTGGAGAGACCACACCGTGTCTCTGTTCTTTCTGTGGGCATTGCTTCATTGTCCTCTGGTTGGACGCTACTGCTGACCATCAGCTCTTCTCTCCTCCTTATGGGAAACTTGCTTTGTATTCTTGACTGTCTTAAGAATTCCTGTGCCCAGTAACTTACCCCAGCCCTATCCTGCTGCTCGTGGGCTCCTCCCGGAATCTAGGTCTTGTTTCTAAATATGATTTCAGCTTCTCAGTACACAGACAGGGCTCTCTGTGGCGTGTGGACTGCAGTTTGGGTTGACTAACATGGATGTGTAGGAGGCTTTTCTGGCCCTGGGCCTTTGATGGGCTGAGCACTGGACTCGTAGTGGGTCCTCAGGGATTGTTTTGTGAATTAATTTTAAATTGCATTTAATAGTCAAATCTTTCTCCTTTCTAGGACCAGGGTGTTAAATAAAAGTGATGCTAAAGTCCATTTTGGCTGCCACCCCATCAAAGTTTCCCTGTACCCCAGGGATAACTGCTATTGTGGATTTGAGACTTATTCTTCTAGACTTTTTAAAAACTGATTTTATATTTTGTTACAATTATTTTTTGTCCACCACAGAAAAATAGACCATGCTCAGCTGGGTGTCCGAGCTGCTGTGGGTGCATTCAGAGCATTCCGGTGTGGGAGTTCCAAAGGGCTAAGCCTGGGGTGAGCTTTTTATTCTAATCAACCAGCCAGCGTAGACACTACAAAGTGGTAACTAATCTTAGGAGTGAAAACTTCTGTGAATATGCCTAGACATCAGTGTCTATGTAGTTTTGACTTTGAGACAGAGAGACCTTGCATCTAGGTCTTTTTAATCCAAACTCATTTTAAGAACCTGACTTTTATCCAGGTGTGGTGGAAAAACCTGTAATCCCAGCTCTCAGGAGGCTGAGGGGAGGATCAGAAGCTCCAGGCCAGCCTGGGCGACTCAGAGACCCTGTCTCAAAATAAAAAAAAAAAATAAAAATAAAAAAGAGCCGGGGGTGGAGTGCCTGGCCAGCATGTGTGAGGCCCTGGGTTTAATTCCTGGTATTGCAAAAAAAAATAAAATAAAATAAAGAAGCTGTACAGATAGATAGAGCTGTCCCACTAGCTCACGTCCATGTTCGCAGAAGAGCCAGACCTCACTGCCCACTCTTGGAAATGCGTCACATTGTTTTTTGTGTGTTGTAAGATCATACTGTATCTTCTTCTTTTTTTTTTTTTAATTTTAGATGTCGATGAACCTTTATTTTATTCATTTATTTATTTGTGGTGCTGAGAATTGAACCAATGCCTTACACATGCTAGGCAAGTGCTCTACCACTGAGCCACAACCCAGCGCCTATCAAAAGACAGCCTTGTTTTCTCCCTCCTGAACTTGACTCTCTCCATGTTAATGTGTAGCCATCCCTCTGGAGTCAGCAGATGTAAGACGGCTGATGACGGAGTGCTTGGCCAATGTGGTTGGACATTCCTTGCTAGTGAACAGGGCTCAGTACATTCCTTGCTAAGGAACAGTGCCCACTAGACCCATCTAAACTTCTGAGGCTTCAGGAGGACCTTGCTGGGCTACAGCCATGGGGAGCAGGGTCCTCAGGTCCTTCCCAGCCCACCCGTCCCTTGCTCCCACTAAGTGACTCCCTTTGTTTTGTAGATGACATGGCAGAACTCCTCCTGGGGGAGTCGAAGCTGGAGCAGTACCTGAAGGAACATCCGCTGAGGCAGGGGGCCAGTCCCCGAGGCCCTAAGCCCCAGCTGACCGAGGTCCGCAAGCATCTGACCGCCGCCCTAGACCGAGGGAACCTCAAGGTACTATGGGCCTCTGGGATGAAGCGGGGACAGCAAGGGATGCTGGCATCATCTCCTCTGGGAGGCGTTGGCTGGGAAGGGTGGCCAGGGACGAATGGGGCCATGTTGGAGTGCTTCTGCACACAGCACAGCTCGTCTTTTGGAAGCAGGCCAGTTTCCCGGGCCATCAAGCTGAACCCCTGGGGGGCTCTCTCTGAGAGTGCTCAGTGACCTACCATCCTGACAGAAGGCACCAGTCTCCCACGGTGCTTGAAGTAAAGCCTCAACAGAGTGACCTCAGCGTTACTCTGAGGCTTAGAGAACAGCCTGATGCTTTGCCCCACTGTAGAAGAGAGAGAAGTTGGTTATGAGCGTCATCAGTGCACAATTTCCTAACCAAATCATGTGGCTTGTGAATGCAATGGGCAACTCTGGCCCAGAGCCAGGGATTTCATACTGACTCCCACAGGCCTGGCACTGCCTCCGAGTGGGGGGCACCAGGAGCTTCCCTGCCTGAGCCTGGACCCTTGTCTCCTCGCATGGGACACTGCAGCTCCCCATTGGTCTGCCTTCCCGTCACACTCTGCTCCTCACCTGCTTTCCCCCCTTGCTCCTCGGGAACCCCTCCCACCCCTCGCCTTCCACAGGGGCATCTCTCCTTGTTCGCCCTGCTCCTCCTCCCATCCCTTTAGCTGTGGACCCTGCCCATCACTGAAGTCTGGCCCTCACTGCTTTCTGAGGCCACTCTGTTGAAATGATTAACTGCATCTCAGCCCCATCCTCTGGGTCCCTTCATCTCCCTTAGGGCCCCCTTTCCCCCCAGAATATATTTCCACTGAGGACAGAGAGTTATATGTGAACTCTTGAAGCTCTGACTTCTTTTTTCCTTTGATGATGAGTTCTCTTTCACTTTCCTTCTCTTTCGGTCTCAGAATCTTCTGGGGCTACTTCTTTGGTCTTCACTCTTGTCCATTTGTATGCACTCACCCACCTGTTGTCAGAAGCCAGATTTTTTTGGCTTTACCTTTTGCATCTGTATTGGAAACGTGAGTTTGCTTTCAACTTTCTCTGTGACCCTGGGGAGGTCACGCTCCTCTCTGGGGCAAGGTTCTATGGTTTTAATGGGCTCTTGCAAGCCTGAGCTTGGATCCTCTCAGTTCCCACATGCTCTGAGACTATGAGCCTTCATTCATGTTCTTCCTCCTGGCCGTCTGGCCACCTCCCTGCCTCTGTCCCAGGAGGCTTGGGAAGCCCTGGAAAGATGGTGTTACTGTCTGCTGGCTGTGCCTCGCTGTGCCCTCTGGCTGTGCCTCATGCCTTCTGGAAGTGCTGACAGAGGACACCCTTTCAGAAGGTCTCTGGTTCTCTGTCTGCACTGGACCACCTTAGCCCCTGGGAGGCCGGCTCAAGGGCACCGCTGTCACTGGGAAGCCCAGGCTCATGGGGACCTGCCATTGTACTTGGGCCTTACACTAGGCCTTCATCACCCCTCCTTTTGTCCTCAGGGCCAGGTCACCTAGGATGAAGTTAGGGAGTGTTTGTCTGCCTATCTGCTGTTCTTAACCAAAAGACACTGGGGTGAGTCTTGGTCAGCAGGAGAGAGTGGAGGGACAGTGGGCCTGTGGGGCCACAGCTCACAGGATAGTCATTGAGACCCAAGTGTCCTGCCAGGTATGAGCCTGTGACTGTGTGTTAAGGGAGACATCCTGCTCAATTCTTTCCTATCCTTAACCTTCATCTTGAAACATTAGCCATTTATCTCCCTGGTCTTTATTCTCTGTCCTCTTTAAACCAATGTGGTAGTAAGAACATTGAATTTCAAGTTGAAATTCCACAGTTTGAGTCCCTGTCCTGGGCTTATAAACTGTGCGATCTTGGGAAGTTATTTAACTTCTCTGAACTCCATGTTTCTCAGCTGTAGGCTGACATGGGTCAGGATTGTTTTAAGGTTGAAATATGGAAGTGCTTTCAAAGCTCTACCCCACTGGACACCTGCCCTTTACTGTTGTTTTATTGCTTCTACCAAAGGGTTTCCCTCTTGTTGCTGTTTTTAGCTTCCTTCACCTTATAAAGCATGTTCTAGAGTCGAGCAGCTTCTGCACAGGTGTGTTGCCACACTCACACTGGCTAATGTGGCACTTCTAAAGTCCAGTGTGTCTCAAGTGACCGAGGCTGGGAGGAGCAGTCAGCCTGCAGTGAGCGCTGATGGAGCCTTGGATGAGGAGGTTGCCTCTGGTTTAGGGCAAGAAGATTGTGCTTGTTACACACAAGGCAAGCACCTGGCCCCGCGCTGGGCCTCTGCCTCCACTCTGGAGCTGGGTGGCCTGGACCGAGTTACTTTCTTGCTGTCACTGGTGCGGGCAAGCTCTCCTGGCAAGGCCCTCCTGGGGTGTCCATCCTGTGCCTCCGGACTATGAGTTTCTCCAAGCAGATTTTCTATCGGGCCCTTCAGTTTCCTTTTTTTAGACTTACTTTTCTTGTAGCAAAATATACTTAATGTAAAATGGACCGTTTGAACCACCGTTAGTGCACAGCTCAGGGGTGTTATGTGCATCATCACGACCACTCACCCCCAGGACTCTGTCACCTTTCTGGATGAACCTCTGACCCCATTTGGCACCAGCTCCTATTCTCCCTTCAATTGGCTAAAGCCAGGGCTCAGGTGTGGAGAGCTGGGGAAGGAGGGGGACTCCAGAGTCTCCTAGGAAACTCTCTGAAGTACCCAGCCCTGGAGCTGCTTTGCCCTGCGGTGGGTGCTTTTTTCAAAGCTCTTTCACCTTCTCAAGTCTGTCTCCAGGTGGCGCTCTGACTTCCTGCACGGGACCCTCTCCCTGGGCCCTTCCGACACCCTCTCGGAGGCCTTGGCCCTCTGCTGTCCTCCCAAGCTCGGTGCTGCTGTTACTGGCGTCCTAGGCCTGAGGCCTAACTCCAGTTCTGGCCACTCAGCCCAAAAACCCAGTGGAAAAGGTCATGGCGAGAGCGGAAGAGGAAACGAATCACGTGGCCACATTGGGAAGGCAGATGACACTTGGTGTCCTGGCCCTGTCTTTGGGGCACTGACAGGAGCTTTGGATTTAAAGGAGGAGGAATCAGGGCAGAGGGTAGGAGGGTGCCTAACTGAGCAGCGTTGATCAGACTGTGGTCTGCTGGGCCGTGCTCTCAGGCCCGGGTCTGCCAGGAGGCTCTGCCAGGTGGCTCTGCGGCAGTCCTTCTGACTGGCGGGGGCAACTTCCACCTGCTTTCAGTGTGTTCGCCTGTCAGACCTGTGATTCTGGGAGGGGTGATGTCTGGGGACTTGGAGGCACCATTCAGGGGGACAGAACCGGAGGCTGCCGCTCTTGCCTCAGTCTCCCAGGAGGATGAGATAGGCTAAGCCCGTGTGTTACTGGGTTGAGAGGAAGGCTCCTTGGTGATCACAGGCCTCCACGTAGGAGTGAGGCCCCTCACCCGGAGTTGAAGGTAGTCAAGGAGGCAGACAGAAGAGGAAGCAGGGGTTCTGGGACTGACCCTGCTTTTACTCCCCCACAGGGCCTTGCAGGCCTCAGTAAAGAGTCGCTGCTCTCAGCACAGTGGCCTTACTAAGGCCCGTTACACTGTCTGGTGTCCCTACTCCTTTCAAAGAAGTGTCGACCCCTTTGGCAGACAGGGCTGCTTCTCCATGCTCTGCCTGCTCTCCTGTGTTTTGTCACCCACCTGTCAGAGCCGCAGGTGACAGAGGAGTGCAAGTGTGCCTCTCTGAGCAGAGCCACCAAGCGTGACAACTTAGCTGTGAGGAGAAGGCCCAGGAGAGGTGATGGCTATGTTTCCTAGTCTAGATGGCTGGGTCACCTCTTGTCTCCAGCCATTGAGGCTGGGGAGGGCAAGGCAGAGGAGGTGGCACTTGGGGTCGAGAGGGGACAAGAAGGAAGGTGACCCCTCAGACCTGCCACATCCCTCAGCCGCAGGAAGGAGGACTCTGGTCAGCAACAGCTTCACAGGCTTGATCATTCAGTGGGAAACATTGCCCCTGATGGGAAAGTAAGTTCTGACCTCATAGCCACTTGGCAAGCCCCGTGTGGGTGATTTGGGCTTTGGTCTGTGCGTGTCCAGTTCCAGGGACAGGACCCCAGGACACCAGGCAGTGGCCTCTCTTATTTGGAGAAGGTGCTCACATCGTTGTAGTGCTTACTAGGGAAGTGTTCCTTCCATCTGGGGCCCAGCGCAGCCCAGGGCCCAAGGGGAGCCGCAGGGGTCTGGGTTATTTGTTTTCACAACGACCTTGAGGTATGATTCCCATGCTGTTGAGTTCACCCACTTAAAGTGTACAGTGCAGTGGTTTTTAGCATCTTCCTGAAGTTATGTAGACTGTCACCATGATACCCTGGAACATTTCAGCATGCCCCAAAGGAACCATGCATGCAACCATCGGTCGACATTCCTACTTCCCAGACCCCAGCCCTTGGCACACCGACTTACTTCTGACTACAGATTTGCCTCTTCTAGATGTTTCCTATAATGGAGGCATACAATATGTGGCCTTTTTGTGCTGATCTTTGACTTGGAATAATGCTTGGGGGTTTCCTCTGTATTGTGGTACTTAATTTTTGATTATGACCAATATTCTATTTTATGGCTAGACCACATTTTTATGGATACTTGGGTTGTTTGTGCTTTGGGCTGTTGTGGGTAATACGCTGTGAACATTGATGGGCCGGTTTTCATGTGGGGGAGGGGGGCTTTATGGCAGTAGACGGCTGGGCCCTGAGGGAGCATCCCACAAAATACTGTAGGAAAATGCGTTTCTCTCCTTTTCCTTCTAGTCAGAATTCCTACAAGAGTCCAATCTGATCATGGCCAAGCTGAATTATGTGGAAGGAGATTATAAAGAAGCTCTGAACATTTACGCCCGGGCGGGCCTTGATGACCTGCCCCTGACAGCTGTCCCTCCGTACAGGCTGCGGATGATTGCAGAATCCTACGCCACCAAAGGTGAGACCTGGGTCTTTTTCCCTCCGTGTCATGTTCCCTGGGGGTAGCAGAGCCTCCTAGGAGTCCCCTGTGAGAATCCCAGCTAGGTCCCTGTGATGCCCCACTGAGCACTTGGGATGGTTTTAAGCTCAGCAACACTCTGTTTCCTCAGAGCTTGAGTTCTTTGATTATTGCTCAGGGGAACGAAGGAGAAGCATTTCAGTAGAGTTTCTTGGTTATTAATGTGCAACTTCACTAGGGACTTTTCTTGGTAATTGAGTAACTGGACAGTGTATGTCATGTGGTCAACTTCCCACATGCTCTACCATGTTTTTTATTCATTAATGTCACCCCTGGGCTAGTTAAGGTCAATCCACAGCAGTTCCTTTGATGATTAACAGGGTCCCTACTGAAGGGTCAGAGGGAACTTGTAGTCTAGCATGGTAGGATGCAACCTCACAGAAAGAAAAGGCAGGACACAGGTATTATTGTTGCTAAGCTGCCGATTCTGTCTCTGTAATGGTACAGTCACATTCACTTCATAGAATTAGTGTCAGGATGAAGTAAAATACTGTACGTAAAGCTCTTTATGGTGCCCGGCACATGCTCAGTGCTCAGTGAATATCTTTAGATGCCAGCCCCAAACAAGGCAGCTAATGGTAATAGCCAGGGGTGGGTGATACCTTTGCAGATGGCCTTCAGCAGGGACACTTGGATCTGGACTTCCCAATACTAAGCAGTCACTCTCTGAAGGACCCCCTCTGCCTCCTGCTCCTATAGTCCTGACTGTGCATTGTGACTGACTGTGGCTTACACAGGGGCCTGGGCCCTGGGCCCAACCCTCTAGAACAGCAGAGAGCTGGCCACTTGAGTATTGCCAGCACATTCTGCCCAAGATGTTGGGGCTCTAGGGGTCCAGCCTGTGGGACTCAGGTGTCCTGTGCAGTGTTGGCTTTGTGACAGGATTGATATATTCACCCAGTTCCCTGGGGAGCTGAGAGGTCTGCCAGGTTCATCTAATTAATTCTAAATGTCCCTGTGGACCAGGAAAAGATGCCGTTGCTCTTGATGTGGCGCTTGGGCAGCTTAGTTGGCATGAGCCTCGAGGTGGTCTCGGGAGCCTGGGAGCCTGCGCTTCTGTTGGCATGTGCTGCGTTGTGTGCTGTGCTGGGCTCTGCGCCCAGCGGCCCTCTTCTCTCTCTTGTGCTCACTCAGCTTCCCACATTCCCTGGGCTGCTGGGAGCTGTTGTGTGTGTGTTGCACACATACATGTGCTGTTTGGGGCCAGGAACGATATTCTGGAATGAGGGCAAAGCTTCACCTGTCACTTTCCAGTCACCCAATTGACCTGGGCCCCAGTGGCTTGTGGTCAGCAGCTGGGTCATTGGTGGAGGATGGAGGTGGCTTGGGGGCCTGAGCTTAGGTCTTCACATTGGCCCAGACATAGCAGGGTGGAGGCAGGCTGTCTGCTGGTGACAGTGCCAGCTCAGTCTTTTGGCTGCCATGCAAGGTGGGAAAGGAGACTTGGTCCCCAAGTCTGCCCTGGTGACATTGGTTAACAGTGGCCCTTCAGCTATGAGTATGACAGATGGCTCTTGGAACACTGGCTGGCTCAAGAGGTGTCCAGGTCTGGCTAGTTTCTGAGCTCTGGAGATGTGAGTAGAGTCACATGTATGCAGGAAGAGGGATGGTCACTCGTGTAGAGAAAGTGGCCAGCAGCCTTGGAGACTCCGGGCCCCTGAGAGCCTGGTTGGCAGCTAGAGCAGTGTAGAGTGGAGGGAGACCAGATGAACTGCCAGCCTGGGTCCAGCTCCCACCTCGGGCACACCTTGGTCCGGTGTCCTTGTGCAAATTCTTTTGTTCCTCAGTCTCTCCAGGGGTCTCAGCAGGTCATCAGGACCATGTGAGAGAGTACGCATGCAGTGCTGAAAGGCACCTGGCACACAGCGGGCACGATGAGACGGTAGCTTAATAGATGAGTGTGTTGTGGAGTGGGTGGGAGGGAGGCGTAGGAGTGACTCATAACAACCCGGGACTTGCCAGCCCAGTTGACGGAGATGCCCAAAGACAGGTGAACTCTCTGAGGGCTTAAGAGACCTTCAATCTCGGCTGTTTCTTCTCCAAGGTTCCAGAGAATTTTCAAGGAGAGACAGTTGGCAGGAGAGCCCATGACTGCTGATGTACAAAGCACCTTAAAGCAGAAGGAGTGCCATGGCTGGTAGCTGCCCAGGCGGGCTGTTCATTATTAGCTCAGGTTCCCCACACTTGTAAATTAGCATTTCAACATCGAGCCCCTTCATTCTGCTTAAATATTTGTTTTTCTAGTTTCTTTGGAAAGAAGGGAGAGCTATCCCATCCACCCCCAAGTCCAGACCACATTGGGGCTGTGGGGCAGCTGCCCCTTGAGTGGGATGTCCCCAGCTCCGCCCCTCTCCATGCTGCCTGTGCACTGCTCCAAGCAGCAGGACTGACCTGCATGCTTTCTAGGTCCACCTGGACCTTTTCATGATGATCCAAAGGCTGACATGAAACATGACCATGACCAAGGTTTTAGCCAGAGCCTGGTCTCGACCATGACCCACGCAGATGGGACAAACTGGGTTTAAACAGGCTGGCTGCAACATTAAGCTAAGAAGGTGGTTGTGAAAAATCACATGGCACAGAAAGCAGTATCCAGAAAGCAGGGCAGGACGGCTCTTTGACTTTCAGGGTCAAGCTTGTAGGCTGGAGCATGAGCCTGCGTTTGATTTATTTTATAACAGGGATAGGGATTCAAGGGCGAGGTCTTGCTTCATGGTGTCCTGTGGTCAGCAGATTGATTGGTATCTTTGCAGGTCACTCCCATCTCAGGTGCGCATGTGTGGGATCTTAGGCAGAGCTTGGAGGGAAGGTTTACCTGCATCAAGTGATCAATCCCCGAGGGGGTGCTACAGGGAGTTGGCAATGCCAGACCTATCCCCTCACTTGGCTACTATGCGCAACAGTCCACACACAGCTCATGGATGGCTCGTGACAGCCTGGAAATGCCATGGCTCCCACACACCTGCTCTTCTGAGTGGAAGGGAGTTGGCCATTGCTTGCTGGGAGTCAGAAGCCAGTATCCTTCAGTTACTGAGGCCTTCTGTGGGCCAGCACCAGGTGGGACTTTACTGTTTTTTACTTCTCCAAACTCCAAGCTTACAGATGAAAGAAGGAGACCTGGTGAAGTTACCAGTGACCTCAGTGACCGAGTGCACTGAGATTCCTGTGCCCTGCACTGCGTCCTCTTTGGGTTTCCCATTCAGGCGTCACAGCTGCCCCACAGTGTGAACACCACTATGCTTTCTGTTTTGCAGACAAGGAAACTGAGGCAAGTTAGAGGGAAGTTAGAGAACCTTGGCAGAGGTCTAGAGCAAGAAGAGGTCAAACCAGAACTTGTCCTGGGAAACTAGTTGAGAGCCTGTGCCACTCTGTGAGCTGAATGAAGCGTGCTCAGCAGTGAGCCCAGATCTCAGTCACTCTGTCCTGTTGGCATGTGGGCTGGTCTCCCTCAGCCATGCACAGCTTCCTCAGGCAAAATGCATCCAGGTCTCCGGAGAATGCCCTGGATTTGTACCTGCTCCCCGTTCTCAGCCCACCCCCGATGCCTTCACCTCCATTCCACACTCTTGCCTGATTTTCTTCCTGTAAGTTCTGTTTTTTTTAAGTTCTGTGTCCTGTCCTCTCTGAAGCCACCTGGGACTCACCCATTCACAGATGCCCATATCTGGTGCCAATTTGACATAGTGGATTAGGATCGTTTGAGAAACGTAGAGAATTGGTTGTAGCGTCACCAGATGCGCCTGCCTGTCTCTGAGCTCCTGTAAAGGAAGACTTTCCTCTCACTCGTTTGCTGTCCTTGTGACCCAACACAGTGTCTGTCACATAGTTGGTGCTTAGTTACTGATGGCATTTTACAGGTTCCTCTGCTTGGATTTCTGCCCAGATGCCTGTCTTGTGGGTGGGGCGATCTGGGAGCCATGGCTCCTGGCTGGTCACGGTTGGACGTGCTTTCTGTACCTGCGTGTGAGATGCTGAGCACCTATGGGCCACTCAGTCGTCCCCTCACAGCCGTGGGGCGCACATGCACAGATCCATGTGCCCACTCTCCCGGAGCTGAGGCCACCTCCTCCCCTTCTCTCCCTCGCACCATCTCTTAGACCTGAGTAGAGAAATGAGGGCAGGCGGAAGAGTAAGAAGCTCCTCGGGGTCTGGCAGGTTGGGTTAGCCTGGCGAGCGGAGGGCTGACTCTGGGATAAGGCTCAGGGAATCTCTGGGATACCAAGTGACCACAGATGTTGTTCCCCCAAGACAGGAGGCTGGGAGCAGTAGAAAGAAAGAGGGCCACTGTTTGTGCTGGGACGTGAGGTAACTGTGCAGTCAGGAGACTGAGAGCTGGAAATGGCGTGGCCTCTGGAGATGGCCTTTCTAAGGAGCTCTGCTGTAATAAAGCGACCAAACACGCCTCAGCCCACCTGGCCAGGGCTGGTGGGGCTGCTCTGCTCCCTGGGAGATGAGACTCTGGTGTCAGGTAACCTGCTGTTCCGCTCTGATTTTATTCTGTGATTTCTAGGTACCTTAATCTAGGTTCTCACTCTAAGTCTCATGTTTTAAATTTACAAGACGGGGCTCTAACAATACCTTACAAGAGTATTAAGAAGACCAAGATGAAACAGGAAGGTGAGTTGAAATACGTAAATGGAGGCCAATGAAAGGGGCTTTGTAGAGTGTGACCCCACTACAGCCGAGGTTGGGAGCAGCAGGAGGCTACAGCCTTACCCCCCCACAGTCCCCGCATCCCCACACCCCGCATCCCCCTGCCTGAAGGCCCCGCCTGTCATGCTCTTTTGCTTGGGTAGCCAGTGGTGCTTCCAGTTGTCCCTGGGACTGGTCTCTTGTCCTTTCTCCCATGTGATATTTAATTGTTCTGAATGTAGACCAAACACGTGTGTGTTATAAAATCCAGACGCTCAGACAAGACAGAGAACATAAAAAGACCTATT